GTGGAACTGTATTATTACACGTAAACATGAGGAAAAGCAACAACAGATCACAAGAGTGATGTGCTGACTTAATCAACATTCAGATATCAAATGGGAGACTTTTGCTGAAGAAGAATGACTGACATTGTTTAAGGGAACCACTTTGTGCACCTGATTTTTTTGCTAATGTTAGTAGTGAGTCCAGTGATGAGTCCGATAGTAATGAAGCCTCTAGCAAAGGTGTCACTTCAATCTCTGCCTCTCCAAATGATGCTGTGGTTGCTAATTACAATTATGAATACACCTGACTAATAATATTACTTTTATTTACTGTAATTTAAAATAATAAAAGTTTATTATAAAATTTGTCTCATAATTATATTCACTGTGGGTAAGCTATTATAAACAAACACTTATGTGACAATTAACAGCCACTTTCATATCACAGCTACTCGTGCATTTATAATTAGCTGAACAAAGTCAGTGTGGCCCTACTATAGTGTAAACTGGTTTGACTGTTCTTTCCATTGTGTGTTATTCCATAATGTAACCTTGTGATTGTGTTATCATGTTATTTATTATGAATGCCACAGGTTCAGTTTAATCACAATATCATTAGCAAAAAATAAACAAAATAAAATTAAGAGTAGCTTATGTATAGTATTAATAGCAGAATAATAATTAATAGCAAAATAGCAAGCAGTATAGACAGTAGCATTGTATAGTAAAGGGGTAGAACAGCAGAATAAAGTCAACTACTAATGTATGTGTATGAGTGTTAAATGCTAGTACCAACCTTTATCAGTACACCTAGCAGACCAATGAATATTGATATGTAGGCAATATTCAGATCAAAGGCGACATGGGCACAGAGAATGTTGAGCCGGAAACAAAAATTCTGATCTTTCAGGTAGTTAAGAAAGCCTCTTTGTTCAGGAATTGAGTTATTAATCCAATTATTACTTACATTGTGAATGAGGTTCTTCCTTGACTCAGTGACCCCAGCAGCTCTGATGCATGGATACAGGAAGAAGAAGGAATTAGATGCAGCAAATAAAGCAATGAAGCCCAACTCATAATAGGAGAAATTTACCCCAGATGGCTTGTAAGACACAGAACCTTGTATCTTCTCACTGATGGCATCAAATAGAAAAGAGAGAGAGAGAAAGGCAGTGATGATGTACATTACCCAATGAATGAAGAACCACCACTCAAACGGACTTTGAGTTGCAATAGCCAATTTAACAAATTTCTGATCTTCTTCTATACGCTCTCTAATGGTGGTATTATCATCACTTGTGAAAAGATTATCACATTTATTCTGTATCCCATACATTACTTTAGAGAAGATGAAGCAACTTGATATAGTGCAGAGAAGAGAATAGTAGTAGACAACTATTACTGATATCTGTACCTTGTCATATATACCAGTCCAATATTCTGCTTCACTTGGATACTGTTGGTACTTTGTAGTGTTGTCTATTGTAACAGGATCGCTATGGTGAATGTAGAGACCACTCAAGAACACTGCAGCCATTCCAACCACTAGAGCTATGTTTATGATGAGGAATATCAAAAACATAATTCCTTCACTCCTCTCTAATCTAGTGCTTGTATCATCATCAGTATCATCAAAAGGATGGAGGGGATCTGGTTCATTTTCCAATAGTGAATCCCTTTCTGCTCCATCTCCTTCTGTTTCTCTTTTTTTGTAATGCTTATGAATATATTGAGGCCAGAGAACACGGAAAAGTAGAAAAAAATAAGATATTGCTCCTGAAAATGTGGAGAACAAGAAAACCAACTTTCCATAGTCTGAGAACTTCTCTAGTTCACTGGCAGTAGTAGGAGCACTTATGCTGGCTTAAAGAAAGAAGAATGAAAAAAAGATAATAATAATTTTATATTTACTTGGATCATTATTGGTATCTCTCATTACAATATTAGGCAATTTATTTCTGTCTGAGGATGGTGGAGTGTGTAATACCATGAGATAGCTTATATTGAAGTATTGTATAGGATTTATAAGAAAGTCAAGTGCAATCATTGCCACTGGTGATGTGTTAATGCAAATTCCTATAAATGTAGTAAAAAAGACTACATATAGGGAAAAAATATATAAGGAAATTTTTCTGTTGATTTTTCTTTTTGGTATGTATTGAAATGTTATCATTGATAGACCTTTGAACAGTTTCCTTGATGCATAGCGACCTATGGGTATATTTAATATACATTATTGATAGTATAATAATATCCTTACCAAATTGTTTGAATGCACTGTCAGAATAAGCCTTTAACGTTCTCTGTATTGTGTTAACTACTTCTGGCTCTGGCAGTGTTAAATAACTCAGGGTTCCTAGTGATGATTTTGCATCAATGAGACTTTCTGTTGGTGTTATAAGGTCTATATTCTCATTCTTCCATAAGTCCTGTTGGATTAGGAGTCAAATTAGCCATTTTCGGTATCTGCCTTTCCAGTGGTCACATGAGTAATATGAGAATAAGAAGGAAATAGATCTACTTAGTTCATTCATGAACAATCATGATTATAATCTTCATTGTCTCTATAGATCCTATTGCTGCACTGATGCAATGCAAAAAACTCAATAATTGATGCTAATGTATCACTTTCTTGCTGTGTTACTGTATAGACTAGTAGGACCAATCAATCATAAACCACATCATGTTATTACACACCTGACAGTCCCACCTCTCATTATCATACAAACCAATGATGGATATTATCTTATATCCTGTTTCAATAGGTTTACTG